GAGTACCTGTCCGACAATGACTGGTTTGCAGAGGATAATAGCTGTGCTGCTTTTTCGTGTGTTCCGCATCTCACCGTAACTTCCCCGTTTGCTTTCTTGTGCACTTCTTTCACGGAGAATGTGACGGGATCCAAGTTACTGCGAATGTCAGCTTGGGTGATATCAGGCGATAGTCGGTTGATGCGAAGACGAGTGTCACGTGAGTGTCATGATATTTTGCATCACTGGTTGCAAGAGATACCGTATAGGTCTCTGACGCCTTGGTATTGTGGGCAGTGGCATATCATGTGCTCCACCGATTGATGGATCTGGCATATTGGGCAAGGTCGATAGAATTCGCCATTCTTAGCAATGTTATGCGACATTCGAGTGTGTCCTGACCTCAGCCTAGACAACACCACTTGAGAACGGTGGTCAGGTAGGACCCATCGATGCGTCTCTCCTTTTATCTTACGGATAAAAAGATCTATTCTGCCTTACCAGTAATTGCTGCAGTTCTCCCATGTAATTTTTAACCGCCAATTTATTAAGTCTGGACCTGGAACTTCGCTTGTCAGTTTGTTCATTAGTCGACCAGAAGAGGCGAGGCGGTTGGCTTCAATGTTACCCTGGATGCCGCAGTGGCCAGGTATCCAGGCAACGGTGGTGTTGGGTGGAGCGGACTGGATGATGGCCTGGATCCACGGGTGTGTGGGGTACTCGGCGTCGAGGGTGGCTACAACGCTGGCTGAATCCGTGAAGAGCACGATGGGTTTATTAGACGGCGTGGTGATGGCGACGTAGGCTACAGCTGCCTCAGCAGAGAAAATATTGCACTGGTCGGGAAGACTGTGACATATACTTATTTCGCGGCCAGATATCCCAATTCCGGTTCTACCTTGTGCGACAGAACCATCGGAATAGCGGATCGTGTGGTTTTTATATCGGCGGTGTATAAGGTCCATGTGTGACTGGTTCACGGCGAGGGGGTTAGCAGCTACTTTTAAGTTATTCTTAATTGTCGAATCAATAGAAATTTTGGGCTCCATACCAGTGGACCGGGGGAGCGCCTGGTTGGCTGTGCTGGCGAGGAGCTGGTTTGCCTCTTCTAGGAGGAACACGCAGTCGCTCGAACCAGTAGTTTTTTTTTTTTTTCCAGAAACCCGACGGCTCGAAGGGAAGGACACCTTTTTCGACGCATGCTGCTAAGCCCGGGGTTGACGGGAGAAGGCCAGAGGTGATTCGAATTGCTCTTTGATATACAGGAGTGAGTTTCTCGATGAGGGTTGTTCTGGACATACAGGTTAGTTCAAGAGCGAATGAAGTTTAACCTCGACCGGCATTTAGATCTCACTTCATCGAAATGGGGTACGAATGAAAGGCTGCTGTCAATACGAACTCCCAGAATCTTAACAGATTTGTGTTGCGGTACTGCCTGAGGTCTGATGGTGATCGGTAACGTCAGAGATCGGTGGGCAGATGTGCGTGAAAGCGCTCTTCTCCGCCGACAGCTCGAAACCGATATCGATGCTCCATCGGTGAATATATTTGACGGCTTGGTTAAACTTGATACGGAGGGCTTCAATTGTACTTTTGACGTACTCCGCGTAAACAAAGATGAAGATCTTCGCTGGCAGGTTGCTGAAGACTCCATTCATTTTAATCAGGAATAAGGTGACCGCAAGGACGGAGCCTTGGGGCACACCCGTCTCTTCGCGGAACGTGTTCGATCGGTAGTTGCCGATTATAACCTGGAAGGTCCGGTGGGTTAGGAATTTTTCAAAAAAATGTAGGATGTGGCCTTTCAAGCCCCAATCTGCTAGTTGTTTGATGACATCTGGCGTCCAAGCCCGGTTGTACGCTTTTGAGATGTTCAGCGTTGCCAACTCCACATGCTGATTCCATTGTATCGTGGAGCGCCTGACCGAGCGTCCCAAAATATGTGTTAGTGCAATGCCCTGGACGGAAAGCGTGTTGACGATGGTCGAGAAGGTCATGGTCGTTGAAGAAGCTCATAAGTCGGCGGTTGATCATTCGCTCAATAATCTTGGAGATGCAGCAGGTGAGCGAGATTGGGCGGTAATCCACCGGTGATTTGCCGGACTTGCCGATCTTTTTGATGGGAACAACTAATCTGTGGCTCCACTGCTTCGGCAGGGAGTCGTTCAGCCACTCCTTGTTGAGAAGCTCTAGCAGTTTGATTCGTGCACCCGTGGGTAGGTTTTTTAGTGGTGGGTAGCCTACTTCGTCTGGACCGGCAGAGTTTCCTTTGGCTTTGGATAAGGCAAAGGAAAGCTCTCTGAGACCACCCAAACAACACACATGTGCTATAACAGTTTATATAACCTTTGTATGACTACTTTTGGTTGTATAACAGTTTACTCAACATAATTCTATGAATTTGTGTTACTCGAGCAAAAGGTTGATTGATGGCGGTATTGGTGTCGTCATCGGGAATGGCGATGTTGGCGATGGAGTTGATAGTCATGTTGCTTTTGCGCCGAAATTCCGCAGAATAGCCGTCTAGCGCTGACAGGGAATGGAAGTACGTGCCGAGCTGATTGGCGACGATGATGGAATCTGTAGTTGCGGAGCCGTCTATCTCGAGGGCTATCCCTTGATACCTTCTCATTCCGCTAAGATCGTTGACCTTCCCCACAGCTCGGCTGCTGATTGATTGGGGTTGATGCCGTTTAGGAACGCTGTTCGGCTAGTTGACTTGGCGGTACGGATGACGTCTCGACATTCATTTCGTTTGCGTCGGTAGTGCTGGAAAGCCTCCTCTCGGTATGTGTGATTGAGGGGGCAGCCTTTTTGCTGCTCGAAGGGCCTTTCGTGGTAACTACCAGTGAAGAGCCTTTCTGCCGGGGTTGGGGCTGGTCTTGGGGATCGATGTCGTGGCCGCTCCGACGATAGCTTCTGTGAGCTCATCGATGGATTATGGTCCTATCTCGTCCCACAACGATTTAATTGCGTCTTGGAAAGCCGTCCAATCGGCATGCTGATAGAGCCATCTTGGTCTGCGAGTTGTAGGATAGCTAAAAACTTCACTGATATCTGCTATCTAAAATCTCTCCATTGTTCGATCGACGCTTGAGTATTGTTCAGCGGTTTGGAACCCAAACTACAACAACGGTGCCGAGAGAATTGAATCTGTTCAACGTCGCTTTCTTCGTTTTACGTTGCGTAGATTGCCTTGGAATGATCCGTTTCGATTACCCAGTTACGAAAGCCGTTGTCAACTTATCGACCTAGAACTTCTCCGAACTAGAAGAGACACAAGCAGACCCCTAACCGTGGCCGATATCCTGCAAGGAAGGACAGATTGCAAGGCTATCCTGAGGCAAATTGAAAAATTTTGGAGCATACGGTGCGATTTGCGGACTGCAGAGAATTTTTTAAAAGGTTTAGGCTTGCTTGGGAAGTTTGAAGGACTTCTGGGGGAAGTTTATAGGAGATCATAGGAGAAGTTTGTAGGATTTCTCAGTAAACTTCTCAGAGATGTCAACGAGACAAGTTCATATGACTTCTCAACCAAGTGGATAGGACTTGTTGGGGATGTTCAGCAGACTTTTCGGAGTTGTCCATAGGACTTCTTGGTGGAGTTCCTAGGATTGCCCGGGGAAATTTATAATTGCATCTGAAACTGGACTGCTCCAAACATGCAAAAAGTATGATAAAAGTGCAGTTGTTGTTTTGTTGTCTTCATAAGAAATAAGTGCACCCAAGGCACCAAGACTGTTCGAAGAAAACTCGCACTTTTATCAAAGTTTATAATAAGAGAAAACGTGCTTATTTGTCCAGTTTGGTGTGAAATGCTTAATAGTACTAGAATATGAAACTACAACTTAGCATTGCGACGGGTGCGTTTCTGTTCTAGTTTTAACTTGAAACAGACCATTTACAATACAATAGCATTGCAAACAGCCTGAAGAAACCAATCATTTTATTAATAATACATCAAAGAAATAATAACCTTAAATAAAATAGCTTGATAGCTAAACTTTTCAAGAAATTTGAAATTCCACACAGCCTAAAAACTTTCATTCCTGAACCGGGGAAAAGCTCAGCATGGCCAATACATGGAAGGGACTGTGTACTCTACAGAGGATTAACATATCAGCTCTCAACTTCTCAAGTGGACAGTCTTTCTGCCCTAGAGAATTCCAGTTTCGTTCCGATAATTCAATGGTTGAAAAGTCCTTGAATGAATAGGTTGCTATGCTCTGCAAAAAAAGCAATGCAGCATCCCAATTTGATGGGACATCTCGAGAGAATGGAATCAATAGAGAAGTGGAAAAAGGATGCCAACTCCACTGGGTTTGCTGGCCGATAGACCGCCCGACCGGTTCATTTGCGAGGAATTCTTCGCCTTCGATATATTATTATCGATTCGCACCACGCCCCCACCGTACATCCTTAATCATCAAGTGGGTAAGCCGGAAAGAGGATAGATTGAATTGAATCTCTCGGTATAACCCCTTGCGCTAGTTGGTTGGTAGATTTCCCACCCCGGGGACGACCGACACGTAAAGAAAACATCTTTTTATGCCGATCCCGGAGGCGGAAAATGGATCCGATAGCAATAAGACGACACGGAAAGGTGGATCAACTTTTTTATCCTGTGACACGTTGATGCCGAGCTAAAGTACCTTTCTGATGCTCTCGCTGCGCGACGTCTTCGAGGACGACGTCGATGGCTGGAGAGAATTTATCGGAGCATTTAATGGAAGGTTATGGAAAAGCGGATGAAAGTTTTACCGTAAATCCGGCCAGCTTATATGCCGGCAGCCACCAGGATTGTAAACCGATGCAGTTTATTGCAGTTGTCGTCGATTGAATTTGTCTGAATGTATGCAAAACTATACATGGATCGACATAAAATGGGGACATTGTGCAATGTATGTGTCGATCGTGTGGATGCAGGGATGGAAAGTGTGTAACACAATTGTTCGATATGAATTACAATTTTTGATTTCGTTTTCTTTTTTGAGAACGTTGAAGATGTGTGCAAATCCTACCTTGTTCCTTGTGGGTCTTGTCCGCCGACTGGCAGGCAATGCGCCACTCCTGAAGCTCTGGCGAAGGAATCAAACCGGCTGACCCTCCAGCTGCGTCGTGTCTGGCCTGCCACCAGTGATGATCGTCTTTGCTAATAATCTGTGTTGAGAAGAATAATCGAATTAACAGTTCTGACCGGGGCCACCGCTACTTACCTGTAGTATATCACCAACCCGGAAAGCTATCCCCGCTTGCGCGCACGGAATCAGCTCGTCGTCCAACGGGTCGTAATCGAACTGGGCACGAACGAAAATCTGATCGACCAGGTGGTGTTGGAGAGTTGTGGGGGTGGAAAAGAACAAAGCCGATTAATAGAGATCCTCCCTGCATTGTAGGCAAACGTGATTCTGCATTCAACGTCGGTGTTAAAACAGAAAACGAAAACCTCGTACAAATCCACTCATGCAAATGACAGTCGGAATTGCAAATGAAAGATAACCTCGAGTTTGACTCTGTTCACACGAACGAAATAAAAAAAAACAAATTTAACGTACGATGATAATGAAACATTCATGTTCCCCACTTAGTAATGTAAATGAATCCGCCGTAGTCGGAGTAATGACGTCACAAACGGGGCCTTTTTTCGCCCATTCCGGTTGCCGATGGTTGGGGGAAAATATCCTTTTATGAAAGCCAAATGAAGTCTTAATTAGATCCCCCCCCCCTCCACACGAGTCAGGGAATGGACAGCCCTGTGCTCATTTGCTCTTGCGCCCGCAGGAAAGTATTAAATTCATATAACGAGCCGTGTGTATACAGCGTGTGATGATAATTATTATTTTCTTTTTGAATAATCCACGATCAAAGGACCACAAATGGAAATGGACGACTGCACGGGACGTTGGCATCAATTGGTAGTGGCTATGCTTTTTATTTCCCATGACGTGCAGTTTATTAAATATTTACGGAATCTGTGACCTTCAGTGCGTTATTTAAATTTGCCCATTTTGCTTTATAGCAATTTCAATCCAATCGACGATTTAATTTAGAAAAATTATAGGTCACTAATTACTACTCTCGCACTAATGGACTCGAATTAATTCTTGATTGATGATGGGCAATAGAATTCGAAAATAATGAGTAAAGAATGAAAATGAGTAATGGAAATCCCCTTCACATGCTGGTACGCTGACAAAAGAATACTTACTAAAACGGGCGCTGGTCTTATCCTGAATAGCTGCAGCGTGTATGGGATTAGAGTAGAGAGCAAAGTATGGTTGATTAAATTGGGTACTTGAGCTGGAGGAGTTTGTGTACGATTAGGACTAGGCTATTTATTGATGTATTTTCGTTCCAGCAGATTCATGGAACATATATGTCGCTCGTCCATCCGAGGAGAAATGAGAAACATTGGTTCTAGTTCGATCGATGGCTAGGAACTGCAAGCAAATAATCCTCTTGGTCCTGTGCAGACGCTGAGGTACATCAATTGGAAAGGAACTGATGCACTTTCATGGAACTATCGTCTTTTCTCTACCCATATAGGGGAAATGACGGCTTCGGCATGCCAGACTATTTTCGGCAACCCAAATTGAAACACTATTTTCACTGGATTTTCTTACGAAAACACTTCGCTGAATGCATGCAAACGATTCTTTATGCTTTCAGCTAATTTGACTATATTTTTACCACTGAGAAAAAGCAATCTAGCAAGGTTTTCTTGAAATGAAACACACGCACTACAAATTGTAGCTGATTTCGAGCTGCCGATAATAGAACAGCAGATTTACATGCAGTTCAAATGGAACGGTTGCCGAAGAAAAACTGGTTGCCGACAATACTCGCTCTCACTAGAGAAGATTGGAGCTTTGTAAAAGCGTTTCAAAACAGTTTTTGACAATTCTTTCGACTGAAATTGTTAGAGCAGCTCTCAGCAATAGATTGTAAACAAACCATATAACCATAACTGCATATGTGTGCGTTCCTTAGAGAAAAAGGCTATAGAAAGAAGGTCGCTGCTTAGGTTGCCGAGAATACGTAAATTCCCCTACGCATAACAATTCCATTAGAATAGGAAATCAAGCAAAGATGTGATTGTTATGCTGTTATTGACAGTGCTTGTAAATTCGACAGTGAGCATGCATAAGGGCGAATACGCGATGATCGATTCTCTTCATCGATTTTCTCTTTGCATTGCTACAGCTAAGCGAAACAATTTTCTAAAATTTGTTTAATGCAGAGTAGTAACAGGTTGTATTGGCTATCAAAAGCAACAGCAAACGCACCGAGAAACGTTAAATCTAGCGAGTTATTAACGAAAGAGAAAATCGACGAAGAGAATCGATCATCGCGTATAGGCCCTTATGCATGCTCACTGTCGAATTGTAAACAACACGATCAATAGCTGTTTCTGTCGATTGGGCAGATTTCAAGCTGAACATTGCATTAGGTCCTAAGTAACATTGACAGGTCATCTTCGTCGACTTTCTCTTTCGATAATAACTGGAGCACATAGCCGTTTCTTGTTGTGTTTGTCATATTAGATGCTAGATAAAAGCGACAGTGAGCATGCATAAGGGCGTAAACGTGATGATCGATTCTCTTCGTCGACTTTCTCTTTCGTTAATAACTCGCTTGGATTAAAATTTCTCGGTGCGTTTGTTATTGCCTTTGATGGCCAATACAACCTATTACAGCACTGTATTGGAAAAATTTAAGAAAATTGCTTCCCTTACCTGTAGCAATTTAAAGAGAAAATCGACGAAGAGAATCGATCATCTCGTTTACACCCTTATGCATGATAAGTGTCGAAGGCTTCTTTTACCGATCTGCGTGCTGAAAATACCACACTCAAAAGATTTTCAAATCTAAATAGCTTAAAAGTTACGCTAAATCACAACTCTCCTGACCGACGCATAAATTGATATAGAGAGAGAGAGAGAATACGAACTTAGCATAAAAATGGATTATACATCATAATGTATTTTCTAGCAAGTATACAAGCCTTGTTTAAACATGGTTTGTTTATTTTCAGTGGTTGTTATTGGGATTTTGATTTCATTTGCAATGGATTGGAAACTGTAGTTTGGGGAACATCGAAATATGTTTAGTTTATTTGTTTTGATTAGTCTTAAATAAGTACAGTTAAGTTAATTTAGCAAAATCCTAGTGAGCTTCTGAGGAGAGTCATCATTCTTATATAATACCGGATAAGGTACTTGGTGCATTCGCAGCTACCTTTGGGCTGCTTGAATCTATGTTATCGGGGGACTTGGACACCTGCTACTTTCTGATTTTTTTTAAATTATTGATGTAGCTGCAAAGAATATTTTTGTTCGTTAAATCTTCTTAGTATAAAGGGGAAACAACTCACCATTTGACGGTGAGAATAATTCAAGACATCGGCTTAGTTCTTGCTATATGCATTGATACAGCATGATTGGTGGCATGGTATTCTTATCGAGTATTATCGGACGTTATACAGTTGCTTCTGGTGTGGATACATTAGGCTCGGAGATTTTTTAAAAGAAGATGAAATCAAGTTTGCTTGAGAAGATTTTTGCGTCCTCTTAAATGAACGAGACTTAAGTGCCTGATGCTGACTGCCGAGTTACTAGAAGATGCACAATTGTTGAGGATGTTCACACTGTAACTGTAAAGTTCCCATTAATGAGTACAATTTCACCCATTTTGAAGGTTTGACTTGCAATTTCCTTCCCCCTTTTTTGCTTTTAACACTGGATGAATTCTCCACCGTGAAGCGGACTTAGTATACATTTAAAGGAAATCTTTAATCGGATCAATGTATAAAAAATGCGTAGCCATAAAATGATTTAATTTTAATTAATCCTAGTATAGTAATAACTTTGAGCGCAGGAAATGTCTTTATATGGCCGTGGGGATACAAAGGGAAAGTCGATGAAGAGAATCTGTCAATGTTACTTATAGCGAATTCGTTTATTATTCAGTTCCAACCTGGATCGGGTATCAAGATTGGGTCTGCTTGTTTTCTGACAAACGTCAGTTTGCTCGTTTGTTTTTAAAACCTAGCTCAGGTTGAGGTTCGCACTGACAAAAAGTTCGGTTTCAGCAATCGACTAAATTTTCAATAGTGACCAAAAATATCCATTTGTACCGTCCCAATGACGCGTTTATCTAGATAAAATTGATAAATAGCAGATTTTTAGCGATGGGCCTAATCTTAGAGCCATAGGCCAACATTAGAGCCATTTTCCCTACTGATTCAAAGTTTCATATTTCTTGAACTAAATTGTTTGAGATTCACGCATGTTTTTCTACATTCATCGAGCATTATCAAAGTAACCGCAAATCAAAATACTGATGTTCGGTCGCTAGACTAAAAAAATAGTGCAAATGCAATAATTTTCGTTAAACATATTACTAACGAATTGACTCTAGGATCATCAGAACTTGTTTAATTTTTTTTTGAGATACATGAATTGAATTAAAAATGATTTATTTAAAAAAAACTACCGAAGTTACCCGTTTTACGGTACTTTCCAAACCAATCGCACATGGACACAAAATGCTTTCCACATTTGAGTTCAGATTACTCCAAATCACGAAAACGTAGGTCACTCATAGTTTGAGTAAATTTTTCGACACTTTCCCGGGGAAAACTTCTCGAATATGGGAAAAATTTAAGAAGATTGTACATAGGTTCGTAGTGTGCTAGTAGACAGACTAAAACCACAATCTGTTTTCCGCATATTCGAGAAGTTTTCCTCGGGAAAGCTCTGGAAAATTTATTCATTCTAAAGGGTGATACGGTCAAAATTTGGTCAAGGGAAAACGCGTGTAAATCGGTGAAATCGTTTATTTAAAAAATCAAATTAAATTTCTTTTTCAAGTTCAATTAGTATAAAATTCAGGAAAAATATTCAGTTAGGCTTCCGCTTTTCCAAATCCGAATTGCCGGGCCTTACGCTTGACCCCTGCCATCAGATTTTGTACAGCCACCTTGTCCACCTTCTTCGCCGCAGAAAGCCAGTTTGCCTTGAACTGCTGCTCGCCCTTAGCAGTTTTTTTGGTCTTCTTTAGGTTCCGCTTGACAATAGCCCAGTATTTCTCAATTGGGCGGAGCTCTGGCGTGTTGGGAGGGTTCTTGTCCTTGGGAACCACCTGCACGTTGTTGGCGGCGTACCACTCCATGGCCTTTTTACCGTAATGGCAAGATGCCAAATCCGGCCAAAACAGTACGGAACAACCGTGTTTCTTCAGGAAAGGCAGCAGACGTTTATTCAAACACTCTTTCACGTAAATTTCTTGGTTGACAGTCCCGGAAGCTATGAAAATGCTGCTTTTCAAGCCACAGGTACAGATGGCTTGCCAAACCAGATATTTCTTTGCGAACTTTGACAGTTTCATGTGCTTGAAAACATCTGCTACCTTTCCCCTTCCTTTTGCCGTATAAAACTCCTGTCCCGGAAGCTGCTTGTAGTCGGCTTTGACGTAGGTTTCGTCGTCCATTACCACGCAGTCAAACTTCGTCAGCATCGTCGTGTACAGCCTCCGGGATCGCGCTTTGGCCGTCGTATTTTGTTTATCATCGCGATTTGGAGTCACTACCTTCTTGTAAGTCGATAGTCCGGCTCGTTTTTTGGCTCGATGCACGGTTGTAGACGATACACCCAGCTTATTTGCGGCATCTCGGAGAGAGAGGTTAGGGTTTCGCTTGAAACTACTGGCAACTCTCTTTGTCGTCTCAGTGGCTTCCGGTTTTCGATTTCCCCCCGATCCAGACTTCCTGGCTGTCGACAAACGTTCCCCAAACACTTTAATTACATTTGTAACGGTTGATTTGGCAACTTTTAGCGATTTTGCCAACTTTGCGTGCGAGTAGCTCGGATTTTCGCGATGCGCGAGCAAAATTTTGATACGCTGCTCTTCTTGCTTGGACGGCATTTTGACAACTGAAGAGTGAATTCCAAAATCAAAATAGGAGCAACATTCTACACACACACACCTTCAAAATGAGGAGTGTTCAGGTTTTTTAAATGCAAAATTGAAAGAAATACGTCAAGTTGATATTGACCAAATTTTGACCGTATCACCCTTTATGAGTGACCTAGGTTTTTTTCGAATTTGAGTAACCTAAACTCAAATATGAGTAATTCTTACTTAATTTTGACTCGTTCTAATTTCTCGTGCATGCGGAATTTGTTAAGAAAACGTCAAGTGCTTGTTAAAATTGCAGGGGATGGAGTCGTATGGCAA